TGGTCTGAGAGAGGTAATCGGCAGGAGGCGGTCTCTCAGGTACCCAGGTCCGATGCCATGTAGGGCTTTATAGGTAGCACCTTGAAGCGGATTCAGAGACTAATAGATAGCCAGCCACTTGTGCTAGTGGCACTTTACATGTGAGGGCGCAAGCACCTTCCGCTCAAGTGTGAAGCTCCATTCATGCTAATGGAGGGCATGCGTGCTTGCTGCTGACACAAATGAAGGTGTGCATATGTGCATATGCGCCTGCCACTCACACACACACACACCCTGCCGGGCCAGGCTGCCAAATTGGAAAGGTTGGGGACTCCTGATATTAGAACATTTATAGCCCACCCAGAGTCACTTTATTGGTAAAATGGGTGGCCTATAAATTTAATAAATGACTATGCTCCAGAGCCTCTTCACCAACAGAGCAGTAACCTATAATCAGAACTATTAAAAAATAGTCCAACAAAGACTTTTAAAAGGCCAGTTAATTAGGTACACTTTTTAATGTGGTCATTTTTCAATTACCCTGTTTAAAAAAAAGGAAGAGGCCATCTTTGTTCAGTATTATTGATTTTCTCATTGTATGAATTACCTCTAAAGTAGAAAGGAACACTTCCACATCCTTCCCCTACAATGGACAAATTAACTCCAAAGTTCAACTAATATTGATTTGGTCAGTTGAGTCAATTGATGTCTAAATGAAGCCTCTTTTCTTCTAGCCAATTTTCAGACTACAATGCTTCAATAAAGCAACATCGAATGCTTACCTTTTTGTTTTTCACTTTTCTCTCTTTTCACTTTGTTAACGTTTAACTTGGTTTTGTGTTAAACTGATACTGTACTGGGTTGTTCCCATATTTCCTGAATAGGCTGAAGGCATTCTGGTTTGAACATTGCTGTTTTTAAAAACGTCTGCCAACTTTTCAAGGTAGTTTCAAGACAAAGGATTCTGTTGCAGGGGTTCGGAGGGGTACGGGAGAACCTCTAGCTAAGATTCTGTGCAGTTTGGAGAACACCCAAATTCCACTACTGGCTGGCCCTGCCCACCCCACCCCACCGCTTCCAGGAGTCCCCGTTTTGGATGCAATTAAGTGCAGGGTGCACACGGAGGCTTGGGGTGGGGGGCAAAAACAGGCCGACCAGAAGTTTGAGAAGGCTGGGAACGGGCCTGTTTCTGACCTCCAGAGGGTCTCCGGAGCCCAGGGAGGGCAAACACGCCCCCCTGCCATGGTGCAGGAGGCCGACTAGGCCACACCCACCATGGCCACGCCCACCCAGCAACCAGGCATAGAACCCCTTGCTAAAATTTTTGAAGCCCACTCCTGATCTGTTTGGCATAGGATGTTTCATTCCATAACATTTCCTCCCCAGGACTCCAGTGATTAAATCAGTTTATAGTTCACCTTCATCCACCTTCAACGGAAAAATTTCAAGCAATACGTTTCAGACAGAGAAAAAGACAACCTGTTTGAAATTCACTACAATGATAATTATTTACAGTGGAGCCAAGGAGAAAGGACTCATAAACACATATTGGGGGGAAAAACACAAACCCTTTTGTTTATTTATCAGTATGAATAAAGCCATCTGCTCCTTCTGCCTACCTTCTGACTGGCCCAATATCTTGTTGTTCAGTGCCTCTTTTTCTTCCTTCAGAAGGACATTTTCTTCTTCTAAGTCGGATATCCTCTGAGGAGAATACAAAGAAACCAAGTTAACGTCCACAATGTTGGCCAATTGGAGGCCACAGTACGCTGCAGACCGATTCTGTGTTTCCCCTTGGCTGGCTTTTGTAGCAAAACCGGTTATTTCCTCCTTCCTTTATTAAAACAACGATAGTTGCTGCTCTGTGGGTATGCCAGTCTGTTGTTTTCAGTGGTACGTTAAAGTGGAACGCAACACAAAATCAGCAAATGTTGATAGTGCAGGCACTACCATCAACAAGTATAATTACTCTCAAGAAGAATTACAAGAGTTCATTTAAAGACTGCTGAAAGTTACATTGGCACTGAAAAAAGTGACTTATTTTTTCACACTGATGACTGGCCACTGAAGTATCCTCACGGTCATGCGATCAAATTTCGGAAGCTTGGCAACTGACACATATTTATGATGGTTGCAGTGTGTTATGGACCGCCAGTGGAGCGGGCAGCAGATTCGGACAGTGAGGAGGTTGGGGAGGAACATGGGCCAGTCCTGGAGTCTGGGGAAGGCTCTGTGTCGGAGGCAGAGAGGGGGCCAGGGCCATCCGACAGTTATCAGCTGCCTTTGGAGTCAGACATTAGTGAGGCAGACGAACAGCTGGAGTCTGTTCCCAGTGTGCACAGAGTTGCCAGACGAAGGGAACAGCTAAGGAACAGGGGTCGACTTGGGAGTAAGGCCTCAGGTGGACGATGAATGGCCCCACCCATAGGGAATAAAAGAGGAGCAAAAGGGGAGTGGAGTTTGCAGGAGACAATTAGTTCGTTTAATCGGTTCGTGACTCTCTGAGACTCCTTGCCAAGTTTTGCAGATATCAGCCTGGCAGCTCTCCAAGCCAGATAAGGTCTGTGACTGTAAATCCTCCTTGAAAGACGTTGCTGGATGTGAATGAGAGGAATTCCCAGTAAATTAATAAAAGGATTTTTTTCGTCAGGACCAGGAGTTTGCTTCATGCTCTTGGAAAGCCTCGGTCAGAACACAGTGTCCCGGGATCAAGTGATCACCTGTGTGACCTTCTGACAAGCCAATGAACAAGCCAGATTCACTTAACAGTCGTTTTACTAACTTAGCAACTGTAGTGATTCACTTAACAACTGTGGCAAGAAAGGTCATAAAATGGGGCAAAATTCACTTAACAAATGTTTTGCTTAGCAACAGAAATGTTGGGCTCACTTGTGGTCATGAGTCACAAGTTAAAGCTTATTAGAAGACCCAAGGCTAAAGCATATAAAGAACAGTTTCTGGAACTGAGTATGCCTACTTTGATGAAAAGAAGGACTAGGGGAGACATGATAGCAGTGTTCCAATATCTCAGGGGCTGCCACAAAGAAGAGGGAATCAAACTATTCTCCAAAGCACCTGAAGGGCAGGACAAGAAGCAATGGGTGGAAACTAATCAAGGAGAGAAGCAACTTAGA